CCCTTCTTGGAGGCATCCATGCTCAACTTAGTTTTGCTCTTACTGTCATGGTACCTCAGGACTAGGGTCTCTTTAGCTAACTCCTTCAGTTTTTCTAATGCTTTATTAAGATTTGCATCCCAAGCTCATTAGACATTTTTGCACACTGGTGCTCTCAGGTTGCTGGTTTGGACAGCTAGATTAGGCATGAATTTCCCCAGATCACCATTCCAAGGGATCTTTGTTTACCTTCCTTATCTGTTGAGGCAGGCATGCCTCTGCCTTACTGTGCTCTCCCTGCACGCCTTGCGGTGTTAAGTTCTCCCATGGATATATTTTCCATTACATGGAATTTACATTTGTGTTTGTTTGGCTTTAACGCAGCACCTCTTGCTCTTTCCAGGGTTGCCCAAAACCTCTGGTCATGCTCTTCTACTTCTTTTCCCCTGATCAAAACATAAACTTTAGCACCCTCTATACTGTCAAAAATTGTTGTTTTCCTATGAAATATCTCAGGTGGTGAACAGACCCCAAACTGTGTCCCTAAAGGGGGTAAGTTGAATGTGCATGAACATGTGCATGTTTTTTCTGCAGAGCATCTGCCAGAACTCTGCTGACACATCCAGAATTGAAAAATATTTGGCATCGGCCACATCTGTCAACCTTTCTCCCCTGGTAGCTAGTAGGAAATGTTTCCCTTTTATATATGAATTTAAGTCAGTAGGTTCTGTCTTTTTTCCCCCTACAATGATCAGTTAGTATACCCACTCTGTTGGTTATTGTACTCACTCTGATTCCCAGACCAATGACCCTATCTAGCTCCTCTTTTAGCCTCTCCCTTAGGGCAAAGGAAACTTTCCTCGAGGTATGAGTTGTGGGACAATTGGGCTCTTTCATCTCTATTTTGTATTCTGAGTACATCTGTATCCCATCCTCAAATTCTTCCTTGATTGTTTTGTTCCCCTACTTCTCTGATGATTACATCCCCTTGATCAGACCAAGGGCTTGACACAGTTTTAACCCAATCATGGGCTGTCTTTTCCCTGCTACTATTACAAATGTTATATTTTCTACACATTTGTTATTTATCCATATATCTAGTTTATATAACCTTTTAGAGGGGATAAGACCACCACTATAAGCCCTGGCTTTTACCTGCTTACTTTTCGCTATCTGTGACTTTTCTTTTAGTGCTAAAAACACTATTTCTGGCAACACATTAGTTTATATACAATGTCCAGTTAAAATTAATAAATGTCCCATTTGATTTCAGGTTGAAAATCCATCTTTTGCTGGAAATAATGCCCACTTCTCCTATGAAAAAATCCACTGAGATGGTGTTGCTGTCATCAACCTCTTTGTCCATGCTGTGCATACTCTGTTGGTGCTTCTAAACTATTGCACAGTGATGTAATCTGCTGCATTTCTTGCTCTTTTCTCGTACGTCTGTTCACGACCAGGCTTGTGCTTGTCATCACAGCATGTGCTGTTCTTGCTAGACTCTATGAGCACCATGTGCCTTTCTGTCTCAGGTCTCTTTTCTTGTGATAGTTTGGATTCTCAATCAAGACAACAGTGTCATAATACTGTCCACCCTCAATAAGGTTATGTCTGGATTGGGTGGCTTCCACTGATGGCAAATTCTAATTGCTTTGTCAAGAGTTAATTCTGGATCTCCCAGTAGTCTCTTGAGTTTTTTGTTCTGGATTCTAATCACAATCTGATCTCTTAATAGAGACTAGGTTGAAATTGTCTCTTCAGCCTTAGACTATGTCTACACCACTGGCAGCAGCATGTAGTGTGTGTAGCAACATGCTGCAGTGAAAAGCAAGCTATGTCCACCCTGCAGTGTGTAGCTACATGTTGCTGAAAGACTGGCAACAGGAAGGTTTCAGCAGTGGGGATGCAGCAGGGAACCTCTCTCACCCCCCCCCTCGCTGCCCGCCAGAGCTTTTTCCTGATGCAAGAGTCTTTCCCTATGGCGAGGGAAGGCTCCAGCCGCGGGGAGCTAGTGGATCCTTTCCCCATTGCCTCCCAACCTCTTGAGTTTTTCCCTGCAGTTGGGAGCTGTTCAAGCCTTTCCCCACTGCTGGAGTCTTCCTGTGGTGGGGAATCGCTCCAGCAGCAGGGAGCCAGTGGGATGCTACGCTGCTAAAAGTAGTAGGGTTGATAGGGAGGCGCAGCTTGGGTGAGTGGAGTGTGTACTTTTGTGCATACCCATGCCCTTCAGGCAAGTCTTTACTCAACTCATTTGAGTTGTGCCTCGCCGGCTACACTGCTATTTATACCTGTGCTGGGGGGCTGCACATGGGTATGCTTCATGCCCCCAAAGGTTCTTGAAAAAGATCTGCTTTGTTCAGTCACCAATTCCAACTGCATCTGCAAAACAGAACATGGCCTTCTGCAGTGTCCTTCCCACAGCCTTCCCGACTGGAAAGCTATACCCCTTAAAGGTGCTACAATTCCCAATACCACTGGTGGAACTGCAACATGAAAGTTACAATTCAACCGTATACATGTATGTGAACTGACAACATTTGATCTGGAATTTTCAGGATATTTGGTATTTTCAGTTTCAGATCCAAAATTTGACAAAGTTTAGGTCTTAGTTCTGATCTCTGTTCTGAAGTGTTTTCCCAGTACAGAAAATCACATTTTCATCTTTCCACGTTGTGTATAGTACATCCATCATGTTTAAAGCGTGGGAAAGTCTCAGGTCTGTATCTTTTCACTTTATATACTATAATACTTTTCTCCCAACAGTTTATATGGCCTTTATGTACTCTTATAAACTAAATGGCTACAAGTGGAGAGCACTTCACTAATGGATTGGGAATAATAAAATAGTAGTCATATAATATTATAGTGATACCTTCTATTTTACGGGTTGCCATTATTTCACTTCTTTGACCTTTCCTTAAAGAGTTGAAGAAAATTTGCTCAATATTGAAGGCCTCATGTAGGAGCAAAATACCCCACATTTTTTTAAACTAGACTTAATTTATATTAGTGTGGTCATTATTAGGACATTAAAGAACCATGTAAAAGAAGAGAAAAAGACTTTAGGGTCGAATATTCAACAGAGGAAGCAAAATGTACACCATAAACACCTGAATTTTTGTACAAACAAATATTTACATACACATATCACATACAGGTAACAAAGGTCCTAAGTGACCATTTGTGTGTGCAAATGAGTTATTTTCCAAGTAAATATGCAGTTGCCTATGGTACAATGAATTTTTCTGGGCTCATCCATTGCACTCGTTTTTGAACATTTAGCTATTGGATTTTTTAATCCAACAATGTAATAACATTTAGATTTTATAATGTAAGTGTCCAGAGCATTAGTTCATAGAATAGATTAGTGAGATTTGGGGACATATTTTAGAATACATGAAGAAGTAGCGAAATTTTAAAAAGTGACTTTTGCCTAATGAAGTTTAGAGTCTGCTTTTTTTCCTTTTTAAATGTCCGGCTTCTGCTTAACTAAATCAGAGCCATTTATATTCATTGTGTCAATAATCTTCAGATTAGAGCTTCTGAAACATTCATGGAAATGATAGACTGTAATCACCCAGTGATTTATGTGTTGTAGGTATATACCATGCACTCTAATGGAGATTTTGTACTTGTGTTTAAATTGTGATTGATGCTTAATTTGCTTTGTTTTCACTTAAATTTCACTATGACACTTAAATCACTAGACTTTCATCTCTTTAGGTTATAGGAGAAACTAAGTTTGGCAGCTATTCCTTAGAGAACATTTTCCCATGTTGCTAAACAATCACACAGTGTGGATAGTGGCTGCTCAGGTACCTAAGGATGATGTGCACTGGGAGAACTATGTAGGGAGGGTGTGGAACATTTAGCTAATGTCTGGCATGATATAAGCAACATGAACATTTTTATCAACATGAACATTTTCTAACTTTACACCTAAAATAAATTAGTGTCTGTAATATAGCAAGAACAAGCATGTACTGTATCAGAATCCTGTACAGCTAATTAAAAAAGTATTGGTTAGTGATGTGTATTTTATTGTATTTAACTAAACTTATCTTCAGTTGACAAAAAATGATTTCAAATTCATATTCCTTTGTACCTTTTAGTAGATTTTTAAACTATTCATATTTTATATTCTCTGGAAAACGTACATGTTCAGATTTCTTTCCAGCAGTTTTAGACATATTTGTTTGTCAAATCATGATTTCTTTTACTTCAGCCCCCTAAAGAAAATGGAGATTTAAAGACTGTCCATTAGTTTATGCAGAGGAAAATGTCATACTGGTCCATGACTGGGACTCCTAGGCACGACAGTAATACAAAAACTAAATAATAATAATAATAACCTGCTATATAATGATTGCTTACTAGGTGACATGTTTTCTGATAACGAGGCACTGCTTTATGGTTCTGGAGATATTGTAGACGTTGGTAGTATAGTAAAGTGTGTAGGCTAGATCTTCAGTTGTACTGAGATGTAAGAGAAAGGTGCCTCTAAGACACTTTTCCCATTCTCTCTATCCTGGAATTGCTGTGGGCTATTTTGGCGCTCAGTGTTAATTTGGAGGCGCATAACCTAGAGTGCTCTGTGTTCCAGCCCTGTCCCCTCCTCCAGGCATCCCTGTCTTCTATCCCCGAAGAAACATAGCTGGCTTTCACCAGTCAAGGATTTCCCACAATGGAGGAGCATGCATTAGTGTATCAGAATTTGACACTGTGTCAGAAAAGACATAATACGACTCAGGGATTTGAGGGCTCATTTTTTCAAAGCACACACCAAGTTAGTTCCTTTTAAAAATATTTAAGATTTTGATAGGTTGAGATGGGAGTCTGGGTCATTTCTGAGACAATGCAGGAAGAGGTATGACTTGAAGAAGGGTTTTGAGCAGGAGAGAGAGCTTGTGTGACCTACAGGATTAGGGAAGACAGTCCATAGATATAGGAATTGTAGGTTATATTGCCATTCTGCTTTAAACTGATTTTACTTGGATTTGGTTCTTTTTCTGTCGTTGCAGGAGCTCCATCACTACTGTTTACATTGAGGTACTTCCTCCAAACAATCAGAGCCCTCCCCGCTTTCCCCAGCTGATGTACAGTCTTGAAATCAGTGAGGCCATGAGAATTGGTGCCATTTTGTTAAACCTGCAGGTACAGAATACTTCAGTGTAAGCCTTTACACAGCTACTTCTGTTTACATGTGTGATGCTCAGGGTCCTGTCCTCCTCCTGTAGAGGTCAAAGTGAGGATTAAAATCTATTTCGTAACAAAGACATAGCGCATAAGAAAATGCTGACTTGGCATTTTTGTAACATTTCAGATTTCCATCATATCAAAATATATTCATGCATAGCTTTTAACCAGCCTTCTGCTCAGAAGTGTGATAAAGAATAATAGATTATATTTAAACTTTTCATTGAATTTAATATTTGTGTAGGTTGTCAGCATGAAAGCCCTGGATATTGAAGGGCTTGTATTTATCCACCAGGCAGTTACAGTGGTTATGCAAACTTCCCTATAATGATTCACTAGTCTCAACAGAAATGTGTCCATTTCTGTGACCATTGATTCCTTAGCCTCTCTGCTGATACTGCCAAAAAGGAGGCCAGTTGTGTTTATTGTATCTGCCCACTATGAAGTTCACTGACACTAACAGCTCATTATTTCACATGTATTATGACTATTCAGTTGTGTAATTACTTTCAGTCACTGCTGACTGGAGCTTGATTTGAACCAGTGACCCAGAGGCAAAATGTTCAGTGTCCCAGTTAGAGTCCTCTGATGTCTCATAACTCGGGACCTACTATGCCCAGAATCAACAAACTTTTCCCGATAGGAAGCTGAGAATCTTCTCTCTTTCTAGTGGTTTAAAATTCCTATTTCTGGTCCTGAGCAGTCATGGTATTGGACCACTGAACCTGTCAGTGGAAAAGGGCTTTACCTCTGAGGCATGTGATTTTGGGAGGTAATTCCACATTTAGGGAAGGAAGAAGGAAATGTAGTGTGTGTGTGTGTGTGTGTGTGTGTGTGTGTGTGTGTGTGTGTGTGTTTTAAATTGCTGCTATTTGAAGGTGCTCCGAAGTTAGCAATGGAGTAGATGGATTAGTGGGCAGGGTACAGCTGAGGTGGTCCAAGATGTAAGTAAAATGCAATTCCATGTGGTCCTGCAGTTCCTTACATGACTCCAAAAGTTGTAATATGTTGTATCACTACATATAGGTTATGTCTACACTATGAGCTGTGGGTGTGATTCACAGCTTGCGTACACATATACTACCTCAGTGAGACCTAGCACAAATAGAAATAGTCATATAACCACTAGCAGCACAGGCAGAGGAAGCAGCAGCATGGCTTAGCTGTGCCAAGTGCAAACCTGCCTCTACCCAGTAGGCATGTGTATGTGTATGTGAGCTGGGAATCACACCTCTAGCTCATAGTGTGGATGTAGCCTTATTGTGCGTCTAGATAGAATACAGTATGTGAAATCGTTATAATATACTCACTTTGAGCCTGGTTCTCCTCTCAGTTTGCTATTTTTATGCTATTGTAGAATCAGGCCCTTGTAATAAATGCAGCACAAAACCATGAGTTTTTCAATAAATCTGGGCTGGAGTTTTTAAAGAAGCCTAAAAGAAATAGGCATCCCTATCCCAATTGGATTTAGGCAACTAATTCTCTTAGGCTCATTTAAAAAACCTAGCCTGAATGTTTTTATCCCAAATGGAATTTGTGCTAACTGTTGTCATTGAGTAACTAAAACTCAGTAGTGCAAAATAGTAAGAGAGATAGCATTTAGGGCTGTCAAACTATTAAAAGAATTGCAATTAATCGTGAGGTTTAAAAAATTGTCATGATTAATTGCAGTTTTAATCACACTGTTAAACAACAATGGATTACCAATTTAAATTTATTATAAATATTTTTGATGTTTTTCTTTTTTAAATATATTTATTTCAATTACAACATAGAATACAAAATATACAGTGCTCATTTTCAGACAAGTACTGTAGTACAATCTCTTTATTGTGAAAGTGCAACTTACAAATGTAGAATTATTATTATTTTATATAACTGCACTCAAAAACAAAACAAAGTAAAATTTAAGAGCCTACAAGTCAAACTGTGAAGGGACATAAGAATGTTTTCATATCTGACTTGTAAATACCTTGCAACCCCAGCTGCAGCAATGCCATGCGAACACCTGTTCTTACTTTCAGGTGACATTGTAAATAAGAAGCGGGCAGCATTATCTACCATAAATGTAAACAAACTTTTTTGCCTTACAAATTGGTTGAACAAGAAGTAGGACTGAGTGGACTTGTATGAGGTGAATTGAAAAATAGTATTTCTTTTGTTTATCATTTTTACAGTGCAAATATTTGTAATAAAGATAATAATAAAAAGTGAGCACTGTACACTTTGTATTCTATGTTGTAATTGAAATCAATATATTTGAAAATGTAGAAAAACATTCAGAAATATTTATAATAAATTTTAATTGCTATTCTATTATTGTTTAACAGTATGATGAAATCTGCGATTAATCACAAGTATAATTTTAATCTAATTAATTTGTTTTGCTTTAATCACATGCCGTAACTGCAATTAATTGACAGTCCTACTAGCATTGCTTGGACAATTTTGACCCGAAACTCAGTCTGTAGTGAATGAGGCCCACATACCATAGTCTGGTTACCTCAGCAGAATGCAGATGCTCAAAGGAATAGAATCAGAGATAGTGGACTAGATCATCAGGTGGTATAAATAGCATAATTCAATAGAGCTCCACTGAATGGAGCTACGATACTCATCAGAGGATATGGCTCTGTATGTTTGCCATTTTCAGTAAATTTATTGAAAACAAATTATCTAAACCAGAATGAAATAGAGGAACTTTAACTGAGTCTGATTCATGCAGATGCATGGGGAAACTTTCTGTTAAATAGTGTGCTGAACCACTGACAAAAGATTAGCATAATTATGGATGGTTAAACAGACACAAACACCCACACTGAGAGAGGACAAATAATTTAGCCCAACACTGAAATTTACCTTTTGGCACACTTTTACTGCCTGTAGTGTGTTTTAGAATTACACAGCCCAGCTCTTTTGGATAATTTTCATAGCCAATCATAAGCTAGTTGTCTCTGAAAGCATTGAAAAAAGGGAGCCAGCAGCAGGCTGAATCAGGAATAGGCATTAAACTGGCAGTTGCTCTAATGCAGGAATATGCAATCCTTGAGGCTCAGGCCATCTTGTAAGTAGCAAACCTTAGCTAGTTTTAGGATATTGGATAATGAAAACACAGTTTTGGAAAAGTAAATAGAGTGTTGAAATGAGCATTGCCCTTTTCCCAAAGATTCCAAATTAATTTTCAATATTTGTTTGTAAATGTTGCATTGTAATATCAAGTTTTGTACTTAAAACAAGTGTTTATTTTATCGTTAGGAAAACATGTCAGGCCTAAATTACATTTGTAGAGAGGGGTGATATTAGCCAGGCCAAAGGGGGCATGAAAGAGTCATGGTCCTTGAATCCCTTCTCAATGACTTGGTCAGCTATGGAGGGGAGCATTTCGGTGGTGTAGCTAGCCATGGCCACACTCCCATTACGTAGCAGAGATCCCCAGATATTATCGCTAAGGATATTTTGAAAAGAACATAAAACATTCTAATTATTAAAGAACAGTGCTTTGAAAATTTAAAAAAACACCTTATTATAATATACATTCAAATTATAACTTTGTATTGTATAATGTATATCCTGACACACAGCATGGCATATGTGTAATACATTATTTTATTATTAAATTCAAATAAGATATTGCAATATTTAAGCAAAATATTTAATGGTTAAATCACTAATATATCTAATAAAGTTTGTCCAAAGTCTGTCTGTCTTGAACATGTGTCATTTACATTGAGATCAAGGAGACTGCTTGTGATTTTAAAGGTTAAGCACATGCATAATTGTTTGTATGATTGAGACCTTGTTTTGTTTGGTAGGATGGAAGTGAGAAGTATTGGAAACAAAAAAACACATTTTAAATCCTTGTTCATTTAATTCACTTTTGTTAATTTTTGACACAATAGATTATGATGACAATAGCCAGGAAAGACCAGTTTCTTTTGAGAGCAGGTTCTTTAATTTTTTTCTGAACTGTGTGACTCCTAAGGCCTTGCAATGTATTTAAACTCCTAATAAGTAATCCACGATATTTCAAATATACCCAATAGCTACATACACTTAAAAATTCACTTTATTGGATATTCTAATTGTCAGTTCCTTCTATTAACACACAGATGAAGGAAAGTCCAATTTATTTTGTATGCTAATTCCACATATTTTAAAATGTACCCAGTTGATTTCAACTGTTATTTTAATAGCAACAATCAAGATTACCTTAAGTAACGCAGCAATAAATAATCCCCACTGTGTTATTTGGTAAATAAGACTGCGTTTATTGCATGCCTAGAAGCTGTTTATTACTTCACATTCTGCCAGCCATTGTTGATTAAAGCTTAAGTATGCAAATGTTCTCATTTTCTTGAGATTTGGATAAACAGGAATAGAGCAATTACCATCTTACTGAGGTGTGCTCTACAAGCAGGCAGCAGGCAGTAATTCTCTAGGGGTGGCAAAATGGGTGCATTTAATTGATCTTGAAATATACAGGTGTCAAAATACAATTTTATTTAATCAGCTGATCCAAATTTAGAGAGAGGTGATTTTTATTGGGTTGTGAGTCTTCGGTTTTCTTTGTGTTTTTACATGATGTACTTATTTGAATTTAATTGATTAAGATCATACATAATTTATTTTGCTATTACTTGTGCATTTTAAAGAAGCACATACGAACCTACCAAATCAGTGATAAGTGCATTTCCAAGTTATTGGGGAAAGGGGGAGTGTCTTTGTTTCTTGTGTGTGAGAGTCTGGATTCAAGAAGAGAAGGGGGAAAAAAGCTGCCAATGTTGCAAATTTGATCGACAGTCAGGATAGTGAATTTGTCAACTATGATGGAAAAAGTGAGAGGGAAACATAAAGGGTTCTGAAAAGTAACAGAAAAACAGTGACAGTTAAGAGATGTGATGCCAGACAGAGGGAAAGATGTTAGGTGTGTAGAGAGAGAGATTTAAGACTCATCAATATAAAAATGATGTTGGAGACCATGGAAATTAATTGAATATTAGAGCTTCTTAAAAATATGGGGTTTTCCACAACAATTTTTGTCAGATAATTTTTCCCCATTTTTTGTTTAAAAAAATACAATTTTATTGTCCAGCTCCCTGACATGGAGATGAGTGTAGAGGAGACAAAGGATAGACCTCTGGGAACACCAAACAAAGTGAAAGAGAAGGAAGTGGATCCATCAGAGCTAAGGTTGAAGAAGCAGTAATCAAGACAGGCAAAAAACCAGGAAAGGGCAGAAACATAGAAGTCCAAAAAAAAAAGAGAACATTAAAATGAAACTGGTGCTCAAGAGTGTCAAAGGCAGCAGACAGATTAAGGCGGATGAGTATGGGAAAGAGACTGTTACACTTGGAAAGGAAGAGGACAGTTTCAGTGGAGAGAACTGTAATTATTTATGCAAAGTGAAAGAACTCCAACAGGGGTGTTTGAGAGAGACCCATCCCTAAATAGCCAACAACATGGTGATTAGAGCCCTCACCTGGGATGTGGGAGACCCATACTGAAGTCCTCCATCTCAATCAGGCAGAGTGAATGCCCTACCCACTTGGCTATATGCTATTCTGGGGTCTCTCCCTTGTTTTCTTTTTTTTTTAACTTCTTGGACCTGAGAAACCTTTCTTAATTACAGTTTCATCAAACAGATTTCATTTTGACTGATCATCATTTTTTGACCCCAAAAAATTGTCAAAAAATTCCCAACCAATTATTCTCTTAAAGAGATATTTGAAAGAGGAGAGGGTAGTGGCTTACAGAGCAGTCTGTGATTGCTGCCTTATACAAAAAGGGCAGCATGGAAAAAAGTGTAAAGATACTTACGCTTTGGGCAGTCAAATGTGGCAAAACTGGTGGAGCCGAAGGGCTCAAGAGCGGATCTAACTTGTGTCAAATGTCTGTAGCCCATCAGAGATCATATGCCATCTTGGGATTGCCAGAACACAAGGAAATGCAGCCACTTCCTCACCCAAAAGCCAACTCATACCTTGTGCCAAGGGCTTTGAGAAGAATATTTAGAAGCCGACTCTGTTAGCTCTATACCTGATGGAGATTCCCCCATGCCAGAGGAATCACCAGCAGGGAAACTGTGTATCTGCTTCGTTTGTACTGCCTCAAAAGATTGATTGTGGCCTCTTGAACTTTTTAAAATAATGTTTGGCCCTCAGGCTTAAAAGGTTGGACCCCACTGCGGCCCATCACCAGTTACCAGTTGAGGGGGGATTTGATAGCAGCCTTCAACTACCTGAAGGGGGGTTCCAAAGAGGATGGAGCTCGGCTGTTCTCAGTGGTGGCAGATGACAAAACAAGAAGCAATGGTTTCACGTTGTGGCGTGGGTGGGGGGAGTCTAGGTTGGATATTAGGAAACAGTATTTCACTAGGAGGGTGGTGAAGCACTGAAATGGGTTACCTAAGGAGGTGGTGGAATCTTCATCTTTAGAGGTTTTTAAGGCCCGGCTTGACAAAGCCTTGGCTGGGATGATTTAGTTGGTGTTGGTCTGCTTTGAGCAGGGGATTGGACTAGATGACCTTCTGAGGTCTCTTCCTACCCTAATATTCTATGATTATGAGTTTTACCATCACAATCTTTCAGCGAAAACAAAAAAATAAAAGAAATCCCCTTTTGTTTTTCACTTTTATAAATGGGTCTACTAATAACATTAGTTACCAACCTTTGCAGACTATATATTAGTTTTTTTAAAAAAACTATTATGCGGATGTAGAAAATAGAATTAAATTCTTTTGGCCTTTCACAGCATTTGTATTCTTCCTAACTTACACTAAAATCTTGTCAATTATGTAAACTATCTTCTATTTTTAAACCAGTTACGAGAGATGTTTATTAATGTCAAAATTCTTTCAAGTTTGCTTGAACAGTTTTTGAGAGAAAAGTATTTGTGCAGTTTGCAGAGCTTATTCAGTAGTTATCTTCTGGTATGTGCTTGGTTTGCAAATTCCAAGAATTCACACGTCAAGTTTCTTGTTGTTTTTCTTCTTAAAACAGCCACTCAACATGTGAAGTTCAGGTTCATGGGTACAATTGCAAGAGCAGTTCGGTTAATCTAAATATCAAATCAGTTGTTTCAAACGTCATTTTTTAGGGCATTAAAATTTGCCCAGGGAAGGTAACAACGGCATGGACAATTATTATTGTGAAATTATTTTTTGAAAGTATTGTTATTAGCACACTTCCTGGTTCTCATCCTGATCTTCCGGGATGCCCCAGGAACCCGAAAGAAAAGTCAGAAGGGTTGTGATTCGGGGTGAGGGTCAGTAAGAGGAACATCAGCAAAAGGATTGAGAAAGATGGCAAACAAAACAACCAGAAAGTAAAGTATCTGGATGAGAAGAATAGGGGAAAAGTCCCTCCCTGAGGGTTGTCAAAGAAAGGTCAGGATTTGGTCCAATCAGAATATATTTGCACAGCCCTTAAAAATAATAGAAAACGTAAGTACTTAAATAAATCATAAATTTTATATGCTACTTGTTCATACTGGTGGTAATAATTTGAAAGTGTATATTTAAAATAAATTTTTTTGTATGTGTTCAGAATATTGATGTGATGCAACTGCATAGTGAATACTGCACATACAGCCATAGCTGATAAAATGGAAACAGTGAGCACTGATTCCTCTTGAAAAGATACTTAATACTTCAATGGGTCGATTTTGAAGTTTAATTTTACAGCATCTAGATTGAACAGCACTAACCAGCTTTTTTAGCATCTATGACTATAACATATTATTTTGATTGTTTTTCTGAAGGCCACTGATCGAGAGGGTGACCCAATAAGATACCTCATCCAAAATGGAGATCCTCAACATGTTTTTAATCTCTCTGAAACGTAAGTGGAAAACCTGTTAGAACTGAATTTTTAATTCTTCTGTCAAATGAATATACAGATTGTGAGCAAGAGAAACGACTCCTAATCAGAGGTGTTCAGCTGTTTGTTGTTCAGCTCTTAGCTGTTAATGAGAGCTCACTTGGTGATACTGAGCTCTGAAATTTTACACAGGGGACTATTTATTTATTTTAAACATTTTAGTAGCTAAAACCTATTGAAGTGGAAACATTCCATTTACAAGAGTGACCTGGGATTAATTAGATGCCTTTAAAGTTGTCAGCCTTTTGCTAATGAAAGGGATATTTTTACTTACTTTCTAACTTTGAAAAATACTACTTTGTAATGAAAAGGAAGATTTTTTGAGCTATTATTTTAAAACTAGATATTTCAGACACCAGTAAAATGGGAAACATTTAGCTTTTCCTGAGGTTGAAAATCCCCTTAATTTCAGTAAGAAGAGGATATGTTATTAGATACAAGCACTAGATAGTGCCCCCCGATTCTTTCAAGTGCCTGCAATTTACATCCTGCCATTCTGCCAAATGTCATTCCTATTCAAAGGGAAAGGGAGGGTAAGCTGACTTCCCCCTTGCAGAGAATGGGAAGAGAGTAAGCAGAGGTGGAGGGAAGAGGAGGGCTTTTGTTAGGGGCTTATATGTTAATCTAATTTAATCAGGTTTAAGGAGTAAGTGAAGAATTGCAGAGACTTCCTTACATCAGTGTGTTCACACTGACAGCTGCCTGCGCAATAGTGTGTTCACGCTTGCGGCACTTGCAGCGGTATTCAGAGCGGTGCATGCTGGGCAGTTATCCCACAGAGCATCTCTTTCTCTTTTGCCACTAAGATTTGTGAGAAGGCGGAGGGGGTTGCAGGACATCCTGGGTCCAGTCCCAATGCCCCATGATGCATTGCTTCGCATCCCAGAAATCCCTGAGCTTCTGTCCGCATTTAGCACCATCTTTCAACAGTTTGTGTATTGCCCTGCCTCTTTTGAGCTGCAGGAATGGGTCCCGAACTGTTGACCAGTATGCTGCTTGCTCTGACCAACATGTCATGAGTGGCAGTAGAGTTATTCCTTAAACTGCAAAGGCAAGAGGAGTGCGACATTGATCTCGCCACGTATAGTAGCTACGTGAGAAGATTGCTTGTGGCACTGAGTGGTGGGATCACATCGTGATGCACGTCTGGGATGACGAGCAGTGGCTGCAGAACTTTCGCATGAGGAAAGCTACATTCATGGGACTGTGTGATGAGCTCGCCCCAACCCTGCGTGCAAGGACACGAGAATGAGAGCTGCCCTATCGCTGGTGAAGCACATGGTGATTGCACTGTGGAAGCTGGCTACTCCAGACTGCTACCAATCGTCAGTAACCAGTTTGGAGTGGAAAAGTCGACCGGGCCATTAATCACATTCTGCTCCAAAAGACCGTGGCTCTCGGCAATGTGCATGACATTGTGGATGGCTTTGAACAAATGGGCTTCCCTAACTGCGGAGGGGCGCTAGATAGCATGCACATTCCAATTCTGGCACCAGACCACGTAGCCATAGAGTACATTAATCGCAAGGGGTATTTCTCAATGGTTCTCCAGGCACTTGTGAATCACCGTGGGTGTTTCACAGACATTAACGCAGGCTGGTCCAGAAAGGTGCATGATGCACACATCTTTTGGAACACTGTCCTGTTCAAGAAGCTGCAAGCAGGGACTTTCTTCCTGGACCAGAAGATCACCGTAGGGGAAGTCAAAATGCCCATTGTGATCCTGGGAGACTCCGCCTACCCCTTAATGCCGTGGCTTATGAAGCCATACACGGGGCAATTTGACAGCAGCAAGGAGCGGTTCAACAACAGGCTGAGCAAGTGCAGAATGACTGTTGAGTGTGCATTTGGCCATTTAAAAGCCTGCTGGCGATGCCTGTATGGGAAGCTGGACATGGCTGATGACAATATTCCTATGCTTATAGCTGCGTGCTGGAAGGGTGAAAGCTTCACTCAGGGCTGGACCGCAGAGGCTCAACACCTGGAGGCTGAGTTTGAATAGCCAGAGACCAGGGCTATTAGAGGGGCATAGCGTGGGGCCATAAGGATCAGGGATGCCTTGAGGCAGCAATTTGAAGCTGAAAGCCACTAATATTTGTTCTATGCTCGGAATTGCAGTGCTTGTAATGCTAGGAGGTGATCGGTGCACATGGTGCAAGAAGGGGCCTTAACATAATTGTATGTTGCTTTGCAGTGCTCCTTTTGCTTTCACGTAATAAAATAAAGATTGCTTTCAAACAAACACAATTCTTTTTTTAAAAGACAACAACTAGAGTAGAGACTCCAAAATTCATCAGCCGGGAGGAGGATGGGGGAAGGGAAGGTCTCAAGAGCAGGAGTGGTCCTGGGATGGCTACAGATTTGTGTATGTCTAGGGATCATACCCAACCTTCTCCTTTGGAGTACAATGTAGCAGGTGCTGTACTTCAGCAGGGCCAAACTGCAGAGGGATGGGTGTTGAGTGCAGTGGGTAGTGGGACTCCACAGTGCTGGACTGTGAGGACGGAGAGTGGAATGCTGCCAGTGGAGAGTGGAGCCAGGAGGTTGATAAGAGTGTGTTGGCAGTGTGTGTGTGGGGGTGCATGGGAAAGAGTTTTGCGACAGCAGCTTCAGGGGAGGGCAGACGTAGAGCTACTCGGCTTGAAGAGCTAGTATCACCTGAAGCGTGTCCACTTGGTCCTCCATAACATTTAAGAGCTGTGGCTTCTTTCTGGTGTGTCACGTTCTCCTTTTGGTCCCTCTTCTCGCTATCCTGCCACTCCTTCAATTCCTGTTTCTCAGCAGCAGAGTGCATCATAACCTCACGGAGAAAGTCCTCCTTAGTTCTCCTTGGCCACTTTCTAATTCTGCGCAGCCCTTCTGCCGCTGATAACAAAGAGGGAGGCTGGGCTCCCAAGGTCATCTCTGTGAAGTTTAAATGCAACATTTTACAGAAGCAGTATTGTTTGCAACACTGACAACACTGATTCAGTGCTTTAAAACACAGCCAGTACTCACACACCTGTCACTAACTGGCTGACCCCAGGCAAGCACACATGAGCCACAAGACCCCCAAAATGGTGAGTAGCCACAGGGGCAGGGTAAATCACTCTTCCCGGTCCCTGCTGTACACTGGGCATGTTGCTCTTGGGTAGAGCCAGCACTGTAGGGGGGGACTGATAATCATTCCTGTCCCCACACTTTCCACAGGCGGTGATCATTATGGAAGATACACCTTTACCCCGATATAACGCTGTCCTCGGGAGCCAAAAAATCTTACCGCGTTATAGGTGAAATTGCGTTATATCGAACTTGCTTTGATCTGCCGGAGTGCGCAGCCCCCCCCCCCCCCCACGAGCGCTGTTTTACCACGTTATATCTGAATTCATGTTATCTCGGGTCACGTTATATCGGGGTAGAGGTGTATCTCGCTGCTGAGGGTGAGCAGGGAATCAAGGGAGGATCTTCTTCAAGCCTGCGGCTTTCGCCCTGGACCCGATGTGGCTCACCTGTGTGCAGCAATGGTTTCTCCCATGATGGCAAAATGGCACGGGAAAGTTACCATTAATGGGGCAAGAAACAAAGCAGCTCTGCTGAGGAACCTGTGGCAGCGAATTGCCCAGTATCTCCATGAGAATTTCTTGGAGATCTCTGAGGGAGATTCCTATGAAGTGAGGGAGTCTATCAACAACCTGTTCCGCCACTCAGACTAGGCATGGAGTGGAAGACAAGCCTGCTTTCTCCAACCCTCCTGCCCCCAACAACTCGCTTCAGCAATTCCCAAAATCAGATCCACTTACCAGGGGCCTCCTCTCCTGTTTGCGCTTCGCCAAGATCCGATTGCTGTGACTGGTGAGGCTCCTCCGTGGTAGAAAAGAGCTCCTGACTGATGCATCTCTGGCCTCCAAGTCATCCTCTGCCTCTGAGTCCCCTTCCCCCTCTTTGTCCAAGATTTCCTCCTCCTGGCTCGGTCCACCCTTGGCACGCGAGCCAACGAAGTATCCACAGGGGCCTTCGCAGTGGACGTGGGGTCGCCACTGAGTATTGCGTCCAGCTCTTTATAGAACCGGCAGCTCGTGGGTGCAGCACTGAAGCGGTGGTTTGCCTCCCATGCCTTGTGGTAGGCGTTCCGCAGCTCCTTCGCTTTTACACTGCAGTGTGTCCTGGTCATGGCGCCTTTCTATCATGCATCATGAAATCTGTCCATAGGTATCATAATTACTATGGCTAGAGTGCAGCTGGGACTGGACAGCCTCCTCTTCCCAAATGCTGATAAAGTCCAGAAGCTCGGCATTCCTCCAAGGGGATTGCCTGGTGTGTGGAGCAGGCATGGCCACCTGGAAAGATACGCTGAGACCACTGCATGCATCACCGAGCAAACAGGAAGGGGACTTTCAAATTTGCAAAGGAATGTATGGGGTGGGGTGGACAGTTGATCACCTGAGGGCAAGGCAATAGAGTGAGAGGTGAGAACAGACATTGTGGGACACCTCCCAGAGGTCAATTGCAGTGCTGTAATCGCCACGTTGTCTACAGTGGCACCACAGCACTGTAGCCCCGGTGCAGAAAGCTCTACGCCTCTCGTTGGGGTGGGTTTTTTAGAGCGCTACAACTTCACAGTTTCTGGGCACTAAGTGGCTTGGCAGTATGTACACCTCAGGAGTTACAGCGCAGAAAGCTGCTTTACTGCACAGAAACTTGCCAGTGTAGACAGGGCCTTAGAGAAGCCCAGGATCTCACAAAGGAGCGATCTTTTCTCTTCTGTCCTGTGTGTTTGCAATAGATAAAGATTTGCGGGAAATACTTATTTATGCTGTGGGGAGCAAATATTTATAAAGCACATTGTAAATAAAACACATAGTGATGAACTTGCAATTGGAATGCATAAGGATTGTTTGCAGTGAGAATCCAGGGTGAAGGAACCCCATTCTGTGACTCCAGAAATGGTCTAGTCCCTGAGTGCTATATCAATTAACCCTTTTTTAACTGTGTACAGTATATCTCCTTCAGCATTCACTTCACTAACTCACTAGATAATGCCTCCATTCTAAGGATTGACATAGTAGCCTTTTTAATTAAACTTCAGTTCTGTCTCCTCTGGCAACTAAAATCTGAATCTGATCTGAGATAATTAGGAACTTCATTAGCTCCACATGGAAAGTGATGGATATTTGACTAAAGCCAAGGAATGACAATGGAATACATGAAACTGAAATGCATACAGTCCATTTGACCTGAGTACAACACAATATCTTATAATTAAACCATTTCTTCAAGTATGTTCAGTTATCTACATAGCTTATCTAGAAAAGATGTATTACAAATGTTAGAGAGGTAAAAAGGCTGCCTGGAATAGGGCAATATGGTACACACTGGAATTAAAAAAAGCAAAACAGCTTATGTTTTCCTGTTCACTTTAAGTCTAAAATTCACAGGTGATAAATGAGCCTGCAGCTGTAGTGTAGTGTTATTGGAGCACTATTTCTTGTGGACATTTTATTTGTCACAAGTATGCTTTTCCTTCAGAACCCAATCATGAAATGTATTTTAACAGGTTACCTGTACTAACATTTTATCACAATAAAAGCACAAATTTCTTAATGGGAAGCATTTATGTTGAACATGAGCAAAACATGCAAATCCAATTTCCTTCTGTTTAGATTTTATTAGAGTGTTCTTAATCCTTTATTTTAAGCTGTTTTATTACATGGAGATGATGGCTAATTCATTACAAAGGGCAGTTGGGGATATGTGTACTATTTAAAAGCAGTGAGTGGTTTTCTCTTTTGTGCCTATTCATAGACATCTGACCTTTTTAAAACGGAAGGGGGCAAATTGCCATCCCAGGACATTCACTGCTGTTTCCACTTTTCTGATTTATAAAATATAGAAATAAAAAAAATAGGTTAAAAGTTAAATGGTCTTTAATAAGATGAGTGTAATTATTAATTGAATTCCCAAGTTTAGTGGCCCCATGCAGAGAACAGTGCATGAGATTAGAGAAGTGGAAGTAAGATATAGAGTATTAATGCATGTTTCCCTTAGTTGTTTAGTAAAATTCTGGAAATAAGTTATTGCTGAGTCAATCTGATTTGATGTTCTTTCCTTTTCTAAAAAAAGCTACTAGAGACATTCATGCACCTTAGCATTTGGGGTTGTTTTTTGTAGCCATGAGTGACAGATGATTTAACAGCTTCCTCAAATTCCCCCTATCATGATGATTGAGACTGGATATTATCTTAGAGGTCAGTCACTTGATCTTAGGGAAGAGCTCCTAATACTTCCAACTTATTCTTATTCCACTGAACCCTATTAGTATTCACTTAAAAGTGTCTGCTTGCCCTAACCTGCTGACCAAAGATAGAGTGCTGGCATAATAGACTTTAGTCTTCACCACCAAGGATGTTGGGAAGCTTCCTACCCTGACCTTCTCCTTTCTGATAATAAAGAGGAGTGCTCTTGGAGAGTGACGTATCAGAAGAGGAGGTGCTGGAGCAAATTTATAATATAAAAACCCAGATTATATAAATCCAAGAGGTTTGATGGAGCTTTACTACAAACTGGCTGAGCAACTAATAAAAATCTGCAATACCTCTTTAAAAACAACAAATGGGATTACGGATAGCAAATGTTATACCTTTATTTTCAATAGGCTCTAAGATTGATACGGTTAGTTATGTACTGTAAGCCTTACATCTGTACTTGGCACGCTGTTTGAAATGATCAATAAAAACAGAATAAGAAAACACTTGGAGGATCACAATATGATAACCAGCATAGCTTGTGAAAAGGAAAACTAATCTCTCAGAATTCTCGAATGTGTCAATAAAATAGTGGATAAAGAAGATCTGGTAGACATTTATTTAGATTCCAAAAGGCCTCTGACAAGTTACTGCACAAGAGATACTCAAGAAGCTAACCAGTCATAAGGTGAGAGGCAAAATATTGTCATGGATCAAAAACAGGCTTGGAGATAGAAAACAAAGACTAGGATTAATGGTCAATTTTCATCGTAGAAAATGGTTAACATCAGGGTTCCTGAAAGTTTGTACTAGGTGCTGTGTTGTTTATCTATTTATTAATTATCACGAAAGTGGCAGGGTGGGGAGGAGTAGTGAGGTAGCAGAATTTGCAGATAGTGCAAAGTTATTTAAGTTAGTCAGGACAGGAGAGGACTGTGAGAGATTCAGAGAGACCTAGGCAACCTCAGTGAATGAGCAACATGATGGCAAAGGCAATTCGTTTCCATTATATGCAAAGCAATGTGTGATGGAAGGGAAAAACAAAACAAAACTACTAGTTCATCTTGCAGGGTTCTAAATTAACCTTTCCAACTCAGGAAAGAGACCTGGATGTCATTATAGATAGCTGAATGAAGACTTCTGCTCAGTGTACAGTTGTGGTCAAAAAAGCTAACAAGATATTAGGTTGCATAAGGACTGGGATGATTAATATTATTACCACCTTTATATCAATCAATGTGGTGGCCTCATCTGGAATGCTGTGTGCAATTCTGTTCACCTCATCTTAAAATTGATATTGCTATACTAGAAGGAGTTCAAAGGGTGATGAGAATGATCAAAGACATGGAATAACTTTCATATGGAGAGAGAGCCTGGGATTCTTTACCTCAGAAATAAATGAATAAGAGGGGACATGATAAACATCTATAAAATAATGCATGGAACAGGGAAGGTAGATGGGGAATGTCTGTCTCTTCTCCCTGTTTCATAAGAGAAGAACCAGGGGACATTCAGTGAAGTTGAAAGGTGGGAAATTCAAAACTGATAAAAGGAAATACTTTTTTCACACAATATATAATTAAATTGTGGAACACACTGGCACATTCTCATTGAGACCAAGAATTTACCAAGATTCAGGAAGGGATTAGGTGTTTATATGGATAACGAGAGTATCCAGAGTCGTCATCATTAAATATGACAAAAAAATGTGGAAGGGATATTAAACATCATGCTTCAGAGTTTGACAGTTTCTAACTATTAAATACCAAGCTGAGATCAAAGGTGGGGGACAGATTACTACACATCTGCTCTGACCTACCTCTAAATCATTGGGTACTAGCCACTGTCAGAGATAGGATACTGGACTAGATTTATCTCAGGTCTGATTCTCTATGGCAGTTCTTACACACTGGGGGAAAGCTACAAGAAAAATAGCTGTATCACCCAAGATGAAATAGAGATGAGCCTGCCTATAAAATGAGGATTAACTGCTAATTTTGTGATGATTATGAGTGTTAGTCCACAATGAGTATCTGTTCTTGTTCCTTGGCACCACAAAGCAGTTCAAGAAGTTATTCAGGCTCCTGACCATGGAGATCTGGGACAAATCCTACTCTGCTTTATTTGTCTTTGCTATTTACATCCATTTTTGTTTTGTAGTGCTTTGGAACAGCACAAGTTCTTTCATAGAATAAATGCAGTAGGTTGATTTATTCTCCTTTACACACCATGTGCACTGGGGACAATCTTTTATTACTAGGAAATACAGTACCTGTACCAATGAGCACTGAAAAAGAATTGACTCATTGCACACTCATTCAGTACAAAGCAACAGAGGGTCCTGTGGCACCTTTGAGACTAACAGAAGTATTGGGAGCATAAGCTTTCGTGGGTAAGATCTGAAGAAGTGAGGTTC